GCCAGGGCGTATAGATGATCTGGGGCCCAGGTTTGGCGTGGGTCTGGGGGTCAGGTCTGGTGTGGATCTTGGGCCAGGGCGTGTAGATAATCTGGGGCCCAGGTTTGGCGTGGGTCTGGAGCCCAGGTTTGGCGTGGGTCTGGGGCCCGGGTGTCGTTGCCGTCTCTGGCTCTTGTTGTCTGGGGAGAATTTGGGAACTGGGTCTCGTTGGGGCCTCTGACACTGACCCAGGTTTGGCGTGTGTCTGGGGCCTGGGCGTCGTTGCCGGCTCTAGCTCGTCTTGTCTGGGGAGAATCTGGGAGCTGGGTCTCGTTGGGGCCTCTGACACTGACTCGGGTCTCGCTGTGAGCTCTGACTTGAGTCTGGCTGTGAGCTCTGACTTGAGTCTGGCTATGAGCTCTGACGCGAATCTGGCTGTGGGCTCTGGTTCTGGCTCGGGTGTGGCTGCCCTCTGCGTTTCACCAGTTGAGACCGCCTCCTCAGTGATGGGGATTAGGGGAGACCAGGCTTTGGGGACTGCCTTGGTTGGCATAGTCAACCCAAATGTAACTTTGAGACCAGATTTTTTGTTCTTTTTCTGTCTCTTCGATGTTTTTTGTGCCGCACCAACGGCACCGCAGGCTGTGACGTCCTCTGCTGTTCTCTGGAGAACAGGAAAGTCTTTATCTTTTAGAGGAACGTCCTGGTTCAGCGGTCTAACCTCCTGGGGGTTAGGCACCTTGGTCCAGCGGTTTACAGGCAGAACAGGCCTCTGCTGTTGGGGCTGGGTTTCTGCTGGGCAGAGTGTTTTCTTTTGTTGTACTCTGATCGACATGGCGATGAGAATTTCTACAATCCTTCTGGTTCACTGTGTAGATAGTCAACTACTAGCTGAACAGATGTGAGTGCTTTAGGCTTCATTAGAGGAGCATTTAGGAACTTTTGAAGGCTGAGTGTGACATCATCAGTGACATCACACATTTTGCTCCAATCAGATCAGCTCTTATTGGAATGTGAACATACAGTGCCTTTGATGTGCCTATGAGGTTCTACTCACAATTCTCTCTCTCTCTTGCTCGCCCTCTCTCTCTCTCTCTCTCTCTCTCTCGTCTTGGCTGTTGAAATGAACACTGTTTATTGTGTTGCCATGGTGATGGCGGCGCGCACAGACGCAGCGGCCACTTCAGGAGACAACGAACGTGAACGTTTTGAGCGTCTTGTTGTTAATAATTTTATTATTGTTCTTAATAAGAATAAAAAGAATACTTAGAATAATAATTTAGGTTGTAAGTGTGAATGTAAACAATATTTATTTATTATTTACAATACAGATTTGGATTATAATAACAATATTGATGAATGAATGAAATGAAAAATACTTTATTTATCCCAGAAGGGAAATTCAATAATCTGTTATTATTGATTATCTGATTATGATGTGATTACCAATATAATATTATTATTATAATAATTATTGTTAGAAATATTATTAATAAGAATAAGAAAAATAAACACACTTACAATGATAATTTGT